AAAAAACATGAACGCCCAGACTCTACCCCGAGAAACTGATTTAACTGGTCTGGGTAGGTCGAGGCGCTTCTCTCCTGTGTACCTTCCATGTCCGCAGAAAAATTGCATATTGTGAGGTCCTCCGTAAGGTCATTGACCATAGGGATCTGTGGCTTTCTGTCCTCAGCATTTTACCGACACACCTTCCGCTACTCACCTGCCATAGAGCAGGGGATTGGATAGATTTGTCTTCAACTCTTGCATTCTGCCACTTACTAGCTGGTGTCCTTGGTGAAATTAAGTTCTCTCCCTTCTCATCTGTAAAATGGAGTTCAAAGTGATCCCCGCCCCATAAAGTCGTGTGGAATAGATTCAGGACAGGAGAGAAAGTGTTCAGCACATTGGCAGAGGCACTGAATGAATGATCAAAAAAAAAAAAAAAAGAATTCCAGCAAAAGAACAAAAGATCCAGGAGGGATCTGTTCCCACCTCCCCCTCCCTCCCATGGTGACTGCTCATGGCTGGGGGTCTCTGTAAGATTAAGCACAGGTAGGCTGGTTGGGATTCGGGAAAAATACTAAAATAGAAGCTGGAAATGAGAGACACCAAGGGAAATTAAACCAACCATAAGAAGCGCCTCAGGCTGCAAGACCCTACGGGATTGCCTGATTAGTAACATCCTCCTCTGTCCTGGCCTCACACGGGGAGGGGACAGGGGGACTGGCAGGCTGGACTGGCGAGCATGGAGTTGCCATGGACCAGGCCACCGGGGGTCCAATAGGAGCTGGCTGGGAGGCTCTGAGGTACAGAGGAAGCTGGTGGGGGGCACTGGGGCAGCCCCAGAAACCTCCCTCTCCAGGCTCCATCCTCCTCGCCGCCCCCCAACCCTGACTGCACCCAGCCCCAGATGGACTGAGTGTGGTGTCTGAGAAGAGTTCAAGGCTTTGCCAGCCATATTTCAACCCCTGCTTCTCCACTCACTGGTGGGGTGACTTTAACCTCCTGCAAACTTGGGCTCCTCATCTGCAAGGTGACATCTGGCTTGTGAGGTGGTGGGAAGAATTAGAAATAGCAGGTGAGGTACATAGGATGCAGACTTGCCCCCAGGGTAGTTAGAGCCCCTTGCCCGCCCCCCCCCCCCGCCCCCGCCGTTGATTCCACCCCACCCGCCTCACACAAGCGCTTAGTGCATCCTGGAGAACACTTGTAATGAACCAGTTTGAGCAGAAGAAGAAAGCACAAAAGAGAATAGCACTGTGCCTTCGAATCAGAAGTTTCTCAAGGGCAGGAGGGAGGCCTTTCTTTTCTGTCTGTGATGCCCTAACGCTTATTACTGGGCTGTCCATCCTAAGGCTCCCAATCAGAATGGAATATTCTGTTCTTCCAGTGCTCATCATACAAAGCACTTTCAATTCCCCAATGTCATTTCTCATTCATGTATTCATTCATTCCTCAAATATTTACTGAGCTTTCCCGAACGCAAGGTACTTCCCACATGCTAGCCCTGAGTGACAGGGAACAACAGGGATTATTCTTCCCTTTGGGGGACAGTGATGACGGTGATGCTCATAGTAACAACACTGATACCAGCACTCACTGAATGCCCACTGGGTGCCAGGCACTGCTGTCAGCCTTCCTGTGTCCTGACTCCTTTGAGCCTCACGACAAACCTAGATGCTATTATTATCCCCATCAACAAATGAAATAACAGAGACGCAGTGAGGTTAACTGACTTCGCTGAGGTCCCGTAGCTAGTAAGTGGCAGAGCCAGTCTGACCCAGCCAGGCAGCCTGACCATGGATTTGCACCACCTGTCGGTCAAGAGAAAGAAAGGCTAGGACTGAAGACAAGAGAGATTTAGTGACAAGACCTGGAATTGGGTTGAACTGTGGTCATTCGAGTCACCTTGTGAATCCTCCAGGTGACAACAAACCATACATGAAGAATGTAACCTGTTCTTCCTGGGAGTATCATCCCCTGCCCCTGCCAGGCTTTCAGAGAATTATTTCTAGGCTGTCAGTGGCAAGGAGAGTTCCTGAAAGACAGAGGTGGAGAGGCGCCCCCCCCGCTCAGTTCCAGAGCTGGAGCGGATGGTGCGGACCACTGGCGGTCCAGGGAACTGCACCGGCTGCGGAGTGATGCAGCCTGGACCCCTTCCACGCGCCCACAAGAGCCCAGGGCCCTGCAGCTTTCTCCCACCAAGTCAAAGCACTGCCCCCTGGTGACCCTCCTTAGAGTCAAAGGTCCTGGAAGCCCCTACAGGAGAAAATCTGCATAATCTTAATTAACAAAGAGATGTTAAAAAACTTCCTGGGCTCCCTCAGATTTATAGGGAGGGTAAAATTAAACACCACTGCTAAAACCGGCTATCATGGAATCTCGTTAGCACTAATGTTCATTTATAGTTTGACTTCCCAACATTTAATTCTTTTTTGGTGGGAGAGAGGGACTGACAATTTAAGACCCAGAAAGATGGTTTTACGACTGGTGCAGCTATAAATCAAACTTAAAAAGTTCATAAAAATTGTTAAAATAAAAAATGGTTTAATAGGAATGTTTTATGGCCCATAACATTATTATAGCTGTTTTATTCCCTCTGCGTTAGGGGTTTAATTGGATCGCCACAATTCTGGGGATTCTCCATTTTTATTGGATGGAGGGTAATCTTAAAATGGCCCCAAATGTCTTCAGTATGGCTCCTCATTTATCAGCCCTTTCCCTCCAGGCTGGGTGCTGAGCCTGGGCGCCTCACAGAGGACGGGGCAACATGCCGTCTTTCCCTCTGACTCCCCAAGAGCAGCTGCTCTGTTGGGGAAACTCCTCAAGGTGGCCCGAGCGTTATAGGACCCAGGCCAGAAAGAAATCAGAGCCAAAAGGGAAAATGGGCTTCAGACCAGTATGACTTGAAATAAAATCCCAAATTAGGATATAATGCGGAGAACATGTGCTCTGGAGCCTGGACAGACCTGGCTACAAATATTGGTTGTACCATGTAGTCTCTGTGTGACTTGGAAGACTGTGCTTTGCCCCTCTTGCCTTCAGTTTCCTCACCTGTAAAATGGGAGTAACTGTACAAATGCACAGGTTGAAGGGAGGCTGGGTCTAGCCCTGGCTGTCCAGTAGAAAGATAATGCAAACCACATGTGTAACTTAAAATGTTTTACTAGCCACATTTAAAAAGTAAAAATAACCCGATGAAATTCGTGTTAACAATGTATTTTATCTAACCTAGTTGATTCTAAAATAATTATCATTTCAACATGGAATCAACAGAAGAATTATTAATGAGATCATTTGTGTCATTCTATCCAGGCTAAGTCATTGAAACCCAGTTTGTATTACACGTTTACAGCATAATAGTTCATGTTACAGTTAGTAGGTTGTAGTTTAGACACTGACAACACAGACTGACTGAATTTCAAGCGCGCCATCGGCACAGGTGGCCAGTAATTACCACATCGGACATCCTGGCCAGTAGCAACCATATTATTTTTAGTATTCCTGAACTCCTTGTGCGCTACCCCATACCCATGTCATTACCTTCTAGAAGTACTTGACAGTTGCATTTCCTGGTTCACCCACACTGTACCTTTGGTACCCTTCTCAGGTGTCAGACAGATCGGTGGTGGCTCTGGTCCCCAAACAGACGTCCTCCTACAACATCCCAGCCTCTGCCAGTATCTCGCGGACACCCATCGGCAGATACGGTGAGGACCAGGAAGGTAGCCTGGGCAGCTTGGAGGCAGCTTCCATGACCTCCCGGGGACCCCTCACCGTCCCCCGCGGCAGCAAGCAGCCCTTGCAGCTGCCCTCCACCAGTCAAGGACCGTGGTGCATTTGCTTCCCCTCCTCCCGAGAGCAGTCATTCCCAGAGCGGCCGAGACCTCAGAGCTGCAGGAACGGATGCACTGTGCGCCCTTCCTTTGACAGCCCCCACCTGGTGAAGGAGTGCGAGGGGCCTGGAATTAGGGAGGCATGTGGATGGGGGTTCCTACTTGCCAGTCCCTGTTTTTACCTGTTGTTCTGGCTGAGTTATTAATGGTCCCCCTTTACTCTCAAAAGTGTCCCAATTGGGACAGTAGATGGGCCATCCTAGCCTACCCACCCCTGAGGGTGCAAGGGCCCCCAGTGCCCGCTGGGCAATGAGGTGACCATGCTTCACTCTCTCTTGCTCCAGTTCCTCTGCTTTTGTGTTTGCAATAAGGCTTTGGGCTGTCCAGCTAAAGGACACCTCAGGACTGGGCCCCGCCACTCCAAAAATGGCTTAGGCAAGTCCATACCCTAGGCTCCAAGTAAGAAGGACCCATTAACTCCCAAGAGGGGGCATTATAGCTTATAGCTTCTCGGCACCCAGATTTTTCATCAAAGCCCCTATGAAAATATTCAGCTGCCATTTTACCTATTGATTATTCTCTGCTGTGGAAGCATCGGGGGGAGGGGGGTGGCTCCCAAATTCTCAAGGCTCTCTCCAGCTCACAGAATTTCTAAATCTTCTTTTTAAAGAAAAGGCTTCAGGCTCCTCTGTCCTCATGCCAACCAAGGATCGAAAATAACCCACCATATATGAGGTCCCAGGGGTCCTCTTCCAACTGAAACTAGTTTATTCTGAGTGAGTGCAGTAGGCGGGTAAAGATTCTAGAAGGATTCTACAAGCAAGGATGGTGAAATCAGTGTCTTATGAGCCCCCACTGCCCCCTTCTCCTCAGACTCCTCCTTCAGGTACACAGGCAGCCCCGACAGCCTGCGGTCCCGAGCCCCAATGATCACCCCAGACCTGGAGAGCGGGGTTAAGGTGTGGCATCTGGTGAAGAACCATGACCATGGGGACCAGAAGGAGGGTGACCGGGGCAGCAAGATGGTGTCTGAGATCTACTTGACCCGACTACTGGCCACCAAGGTAACTCCTGCTCTGCCCAGCCTGCCCAGCCTGGGGAGGGCTCCTTAGAGGGGTATGTCCTGCCCATCTTCCACCCCCACCCCCCAGCATAAGGATGTCATGGAGTCTGTCCTTTAAGGGGACCCATTCAGATGAGCAGGTCCAAGTCCCAGAGCAGAGGATCAGGCCACTGTTGTTCTCTACCTTTTGGCAAAAATTGCAATAGTATCATTGCCCCTGGCCCACCCCTCAAGACCACCATTACTCTTCAGAGGAGCTGCTCTCATCTCTGGGTCCCTGTACCTTTTAGGAAAATGTTGGGGTTTTCTTACTGATGTTAGCTGGACAGATAGGCCAGCCTCCACCATCGAGGTCTTTTGCACCCACTTTCTGGCCACAGTGAGAGAGAAAACACAAAGGCCAGGTCCTGCCAGTAATCAGAGAGAAGGCTCCCCCTTCCCTGCCCCATCCCATTGGCCCCCAAATGCTGATGGAGGTGAGGTAGTCACAGTGCTGGAAGCTAAGATCTAAAGCTGTCTTCCAGCTTCCCAAGCAGAGAACAACTATGCCTGTAAGCATGGCAATCATATGGCCCATCTTTGCCAGCAGAGGTCAGATTTCAAATACTCTCCCCCACTGACCCCACAAAAATGCTGCTGAAATTCTCCCACAGTGGCATCCAGATTACAGCTGTGACTTGCTCCCCAAAGGGACATAGAAATACACCCTCAGACCATATGTCTTAAATTTTGCTTTTCCTAATATGCTAATAAGAGACCAACAGAGCCACCAGAAAAGGCTGGATGTGTTCTGAACCTTCAGAGGTGTGTCCCTTGAACCTGTAGCCTGGGGGACCCAGGGCCAGCCTTGTTCCTACCCAGAGACCCTCCAGAGCCCTGTGGGTGGGGGCTGAGCCTGGGTATTCTTGGATCTGGACCCTTCACCTGCAGCACCCAGGCCACGAATATGGCAAACCTCTTCACCAGGAGGCTCAGGGTCCTCCAGCTTGTTCTTCAGACATGCTGTCATCCCAGCACGCGCCCACCAGTCCCCGTGGGCAGCTGGGGCTCAGAGCCTTCACTGTCTTCCTGCCCCACACCCTGAGCCCGGTCCCGCCTGGCACGGACACAGGCATAGATGGGGCATGTGGCTGCGGGTTGAAGGAGAGATTCTTCCCAGGAATCTGCAGCCTCTTCAGTCCCTCCCATCTCCCCGACACCCCCACGGCCCCCTCCCCACCCCCACCACGCTGTCTGCACAGCCTGGCGCCGCCAACAAATTTCCAAGGCAGGATCAGTCCAAGGCACCATCTGGTCTGCCCGTCTGCTGCCTGCACCCCCACCTCCCCCCACCCTTCCCCTCACGCTGTCCCCCCCCAATCCCGTCCCTCCCCCAGGGCACCCTGCAGAAGTTCGTGGACGACTTGTTTGAGACCTTGTTCAGCACGGTGCACCGGGGCAGCGCTCTCCCCCTGGCCATCAAGTACATGTTTGACTTCCTGGATGAGCAGGCAGACAGACACAGCATCCACGACACAGATGTGCGGCACACCTGGAAAAGCAACTGGTAACCCCTCGGGGAGCCCAGGGGGCCTAGCTGCAGCCTGGAGAGGCCACAAGCTGTGGGAGGTGGGGCCGGCAGGGACCAGAGGGATGGGGGAGCCCGTTCGTCGCGGTGGCTGGGTAATCCGAGGCTCCTAGAACAAACAGCGCACAAATGCTCTGCAGAGCCAACGTCGTCCCCAGGCTGTGGGCGCCAAGCGGGGCCTGCCTGGCTGAGGGCCCGGCACCAGGACACGGGCTTGAGCTCTGCCCTTTCCGGTTGAGAGCCTTTCCCAGGCAGCACTTCCTCCCTGACTCTGAGACCTCTGGTTCTCAAGAAGGGTTGCTGGAGGAACCCGAGGAGCCACACTGGAGACAGCTAGTTGCAGAGCTTCAAAGCCAGGCAGCGTCAGGCATTCTGGGCAAAGCAGAGCTGAAGACACCTCCTCCTGAGACAGGGAAGCGCTGAACAGAACGTAGACCCCTGGGGAGAGAGCTTGCACTTGATGCAGACTTGAGCCCACCAACCAGGAGGATGTCATGGCAACCTTGATTCCTTAAGGCCAAGTTATGACCCCGGCGCCATGGGTTTCGGGAAGCAGCAGGAGGGATATGTCCTTTAGGCATGACTCTCGTCCCTAAGGTAACCCCCACGGCCACACACGGCAGTGAGAGAAGGGGCTCCTACAGGCCCCCAGCAGACGACTTTTCTCTCCTGGGTTTGAGCTCTAGACCACAGACTGAGCTGAGGACTGGCTTTCAGGTCAGACAGGGCCTGGCCCAGAGCCGGAGTCAAAAACGTCCCTCCAGGCAAGAGCCCAGAGAGAGGAGGCATTTGGGTTGGGCAGGCAGCCCACACAGCTGTCTGGAGTCAGCGATCTCCTCAGAAAACAGAGCCGACACAGATGGGCCCCGGCTGTTATTTGGGAATCAAAAAATCCTAGCAACCAGCAAAACACTTTGGAAAAACCCAACCCCAAACCCATATAATCCTTTTTTCTTCGAGATGCCGTGGTTGCTGGCCCTGTGGAGTCTGCAGCTTTGATCACAGGGTAGTGAAATGGGGAAGATTCTGGTGGTCGTGGGTGAGGAGCCCACAGCGTGCTTCGCCGGGGCAGGCCTTGCGTCTGCATTCCCAGGGGCAGGGCTATGGCTGTCTCCTTTGCTTTGGAAGACTCCCCAGCCCAGTGTTGGAAGTGTGCAATCTCAGGGAGATGAAGAGAAAGTTCTGGATCCTCCCCATCTCACTGCCTTCTGTTGCCAGATAGGCCCAGGTCATAGAAATGCCCTACCCTGGAGTTGTGGCAGGAAGAGTCCCCTTATCCAGACCTCAAATAGCTAATGTCCACGGAAAGAATACTAGAAGCTCCTCAAAGCTGCCGGAGGATGGGAGGGTGGAAGAGATGAGTCACTTCTCAGCCGAGGCAGCTCTGCAGGAACGAGCGATCCTGTGGTCCTTTGAAAGACAAGCAGAAGTCATCCTGGAAGGACCTGGAGTCGGCAAAGTGGATCTTCCCAAGACTTGGCGTGACTGAGACACTTGGGAAAGTTTGGGAACCTTCAGGTTCAAGAGAAGGTGAAGAAGGGGAGATGAGAGGTAGGCTGGATTTCTGGACCCCCATCTCAGACCAGAAGGACAAGCCAGGGAACAAAGGCCACTCGACAGAGGAGCCCAGGAGTTAGCGCCCTGAAGGCAGCTGGAGGAGAAGGCCAAGTTGGAAAAGGCACAGAAGCAGCGGCTCTTCTGCCTCTGAAGGGGAGTCAGTGGGCTGGTCCTCCTCATGGCCACAGGAGCAGAGAAAACCCATTCTCCTCTGTACACATTCCCAAGATGCAAGAAGGAACACTCCTAACAACTGATCAGTTCCTCTTGGGGTGGGAAAAACTGTGAGCTACAGTGAGTTCATTCCCAGCAGGCCAACAATGGCCTCCTCTCCTCCCCCTGCCCCTGCCCAGAGAGGAGAGAGCCCTGGGGAGAGCCCTGAAAGAGCTGCCCCCAGGGGGGCCCACTCCTCAGCCCCACCAGGCCTGGCCGGCCCTGGGAAGTGGCACAAGGGGCAAGGCTGGGCGGGGAGCACAGGTGGCCCCCTTTGTGCGGGCTCCCAGGCAGCGCCTGGGCCTGCTAGCTGCATCCTTCAGCACAATGGCCATGGGCACTGCGAAGGGACTCTAGGAGTCTGGTGGCTTTGTCTGAAGCTCTGAGAAAATCGTGCAGTTCTCTGTCCTTGGGCTTCCCTGGGAGCATGGAGGCCTTTGGGAAAAGCTGCCAGGACCGAACAGAACCCACCCACATCTAACCCTTGGTGGTTAAGGCTCAGGGTCAGCACCCAGTTAGGGTACAATGGTGCCCCTCCTTTTCTTCCCAGGGTCAGGAACAGCTTAGGCTAAATTCACAGTCCTGGCTGGAGCAGCTCTCAGTGATTTTGTTCCCTTGCCCTGGGGGAGAGAAGTTTTATTTGTAGAGGGGGGAGAGGAATATTCGTGGACAACATTAAGGGTGCGGCAGAGGTTCGGCCCTCAAGGTCTGCTCTGCCTTTTTCTACAGCCTCCCTCTGCGCTTCTGGGTGAACGTGATCAAGAACCCCCAGTTTGTGTTTGACATCCACAAGGGCAGCATCACGGATGCCTGCCTGTCCGTGGTGGCCCAGACCTTCATGGACTCTTGCTCCACATCAGAGCACCGGCTGGGCAAGGACTCCCCCTCCAACAAGCTGCTCTACGCCAAGGACATCCCCAGCTACAAGAGCTGGGTGGAGAGGTCAGTAGCCCCTCCCCAGGACAGGCCCACACCCCCATCTGTCTGCTCCATCACAGGGCCTCACTGAGGACTCACAACCCACAACCGCGTTTGTGGTACCTTTGGATCTCATGCTCCCATCTTTCTCCCTTCTCCAAACTTCCTGCTGGGGGGAGAAGGGGAAACTTTTGTGCCCTTGGAGGTCAGATCATTATCATTCTGATTACCTTTTACTGAGCACATGCTAAGCAACCAGTGCTGTGATAAAGATTTTTTTTTATGTATCATCTCATTAAAACGGAGTTGCAAAGTAAATATTATCATCATCCCCATTTTACTGATGAGGAGACTGAGATACAGAGAGGCTAAGTAACTTGCCTAAGGTCACACAGCCAGCAAGTAGTAGAGCTGGGATTGGAAGACAAGGAGTCCAGTCAGAGTCTGGTCAGAGTCTGGGCTTTTAAGCATTCTGGCCCCCGCCCCCGCAGTGGAAGCTCCCAGCTGGATGGAGTCTGGCGTAGTGAGCACCAGTCTCTAGGCCTCAACCTTTAGCTTGAGGCAAGGAGCCAGAGGAAGACACATCAGAAGGAAAAAAGGGAGGCAGGAGCAACTAGGGACATCCGGTGCTCTCAAGGGGCCTGAGGTCAGAGTCCTGTAGGTGAATGGGCGCCGGGTGCCCGCTAAGGAGCCTGTCCTCTCTACGGCAGATACTACGCAGACATTGCCAAGCTGCCCGCCATCAGTGACCAGGACATGAACGCCTACCTGGCTGAGCAGTCCCGTCTGCACGCTGCGGAGTTCAATATGCTGAGTGCCCTCAATGAGATCTACTCCTACGTCAGCAAGTACAGCGAAGAGGTAAGGCGGGGTCCGGGAGGGGACGGAGAGCCACGCGCAGCCAGGATGGCACTTACCCGGAACACCTGGCTCAGCCCTCCAATAACAGCAACAGAGGGTAATTCAGACAACGTAGTCATGGAGTCAGAAACCCGTGAGCTCGAAACTCATTACCACTCCCTTAGACAGCAGCTTCTCCCTGATTTCATCCAGAGCTTTCTTACACGTTTCGTTGTCTTGTACTCATTGTTAACACAATAAATAACACTTTTCATAACATAATTGTTGTTCCTTTCAAAGTGTCGTACAATTAATTTCATCCTTTCTTAAACAATGAATCAGACTATTCCTTGCGCTGGGGCAGACGCTGTCAGTCACGTTTCAGGTACGCAGGTGGGCCCTAACACGAGCAGAGGGCGCAGAGGAGAGCTCCGGAGAATTCTCAAGGCATGCATTGGCATTGTCCTTGAACTTAGCATTAGTAGTAATAATAATGGTGATAATAGCTAATATTTACATAGCACTTTGTCAGATACGCCAAATATGGTCTTAAACACATTGTTTTAAGATATATACATGTATGTGTATATATGTAGACGTACATACATACACACACACACGTGCATACATACCTATATTCAGTTAATCATTTATAGTATCTCAGGTTGTGTTCATTAGGGCAGAACGGAAAGGCAGGTAGAGGGATGAAGGATTCGGCCAATGGCTTCCTCTACCTAAATTCCTAAATTCCTCCCTCTACCTCCACCTTTGTTTTTGCTCCTCAGCTCATCGGGGCCCTGGAGCAGGACGAGCAGGCCCGGCGACAGCGGCTGGCGTACAAGGTGGAGCAGCTCCTAAATGCTATGTCCATCGAGAGCTGAGAGACGGAGCCTCACGTTCCCAGGAAGAGGGGCCTGGGAAAGCTGTCACACTTGGAGTCTCAGAAGGCAGGACAAGTGAAGGGGATCAGACCCCAGAGCTTGCTGTCCCCTGAGACCCCACCCCGGGGAGAGAGGAGGGCCCCTCCCCGCCACGCCAGCCACGGCCCATCAGCGCCACTCCTGCAGGGACAGACGGCGGGCATCGTCCACCCACAGCGAACCACAGAGAGGCCGGGGGCGCCGAGAAGGTGGTTCTTCAAGCCGAGAGGCACGAACTGGGGAACAGTTCTGCCTCTGACTGCTGCTTTGCATGAAAACTCATTTGATGTATATTGGGGAAATAATGAGAACTTTATTTAATTTTTTTTAAGAAAAAGGAAAAAAAAAAAAAACCCAGAAATAAAACAAAACAAAAAGCCTCCCTGTTCATCCCGTCCCACTTCTGTTTCAATCTGATTTCCGACCCCATTGCTTCTCCCCGCCCTCCCCCTCTTCCTCGAATGACTCCCATTTCCAAATGCCAGAAAAGGCCTACAAAGAGAAGCTGAGAGGAATTGGAGGGGAAACGATCGTTTGCTTTCCCTTGAGATTACAAGAACATGAGAAGGAGAAGAATGAGCACAAGTTCACACCAAACACTTCACAAAAAGAGAGGCCAGTACAAGCTAGAATCATCCCGGCGGCCCAAGGACTGTGGCAAGTACCGAACTTGGCACCGACTGTGGAGCTACTGAGGGGCTTGACCTGGCTGATGGCCAGTGGAGGTTTATGGACCACACACGTGTATATTCTCATCTCTGGAGGGGAGATCTGTATCTGTAGGTACCAGTGCTTCTTGCTACTGGGTTTTTTGTTTGTTTTTCTTTTATTTAATCTCAAACCTCAAGAAATGAGGAGCTGATCTTTGGTACTTTTCCCTTTGGTTCCCCTAAAGTTACTGTCAGAAGTGCGGGAGAAGTGGGCCTCTCTCAGAGCAGACGCCTGGCCTCCCCGAGGACACTGGGCAGCTTTGCCTTACATCAGTTACTGTCATAAACCAGCCCCCCCCCCCCCCGCCAGGGAAAGGGCCTGGAGTGTGTGGCCCAGGGCTCCAGGAGATTCTATTCAGGAGCTGACTGGGGGACATGGGTGTTTGGCTTTAGGTTCCACTCCAGTCTGCCAGTGGTTTCTTGCAATTAAAGAGAAAGCAAAAACCAAACACTGTTTACAGCAAGCAATACTTGAAGAGCATAGGTTAAAGAAGTGGCCGTATTTATTGTGATGCTTTCTTTCTGTCCTTCTCTTGTGCCTGCAGAGGGGAGACAACCCTCCGCTCGTATGTGGAAGCTCCTGATCGTCTGAGCACTTGCCTCAGTAGAAATGACTGTAGCATCCCCACGTTATTGTCTCCTTCTTCTCTTTCTGCCGCCCACGTCCTTGTGAGTTCGAAGGACAAGTGGGTGGCTTCTCACTGGGCTTCTTTCTTTCTCTCTCTCTTCTGCTGACACCTAAAACCATTGGATGGCCAACTCTCCTGAGTGTAGTTTCTAAACAAAGAGACCAGAGCTCCACACCCTGGGTCTAGAGGCCCCACGGAAGCCCGTAGGAGTCATCCAGAGGAAGGTGGCTCTGTTGGCGGCAAGACCTTGGTGACCGGGACAGCCTTCAGAGTTTCCAGGCCTCCCACACTGGCAAGGATCCAAGCAGGCAGCTCCAGCTTCTCTGTAAGCGGCATCAGAGGGAGGGAGAAGGCAGGCCAGAGAAAGGCAACGGGGTGGGAAGGGGGCAGGCAGGAGAGGACCATCCTCCCCTTCCCCCCTTCTACTTTTCAAGGGGCTGCAGTGCTGGGAAACTGGACCAGCCAGCCCCTGAGAGACCAGACCAGGGTCATTGCCTCCGTAATTAACTCTGGGCCCCAGCTTCTCTGTGCTCTGATTTACCTCCAAACAATTCCAATTTCCAAAGGCTCTGCTGACCACACTGGATTCCCAGGAAAGGGCTGGGGGAGGGGGAGCTCTGAGGGCTGGCTTCCATCCCTGGCGTGTGGCTCTGGATCGCTGTGCTAACCACACAGCAGACATTGCCTGGTCTCCTCAGCTCCAGTTTCTCGCCTGAATGCCGCTGACAAAGGGAAAGAGAAAAGCATTCAGCAAAATACTCAGGAAACTCGCTCTTTTCATTATAATTCACAACCAGCCATGCCAAGGCCACTTTCTTCTGATAATCCACTTCTGCTAAAGTTTCTCTGGGCCCTATTAATAGCCTGAAAGAAATACTAATGACTGGCCTTCTGCACTAAGCCAAAGTGTTTGCTCTTCGTAGCACCCAAAGCTTATCAGCTCTGAACCTGTGATTAATGGCGATGAAAGGAGAGAAGATTTGTGCAAGAGGAATGTGAGTGGGGGCCTTGGTGCCACAGAAAAATCCCAGCCCACCCTCACATGAGTTCCAAGCTCTGAACGAAGTTTTTCTGATCACACCGCTGAGCAGACCAGCATCCAGGGTTTTGCTCCACCAAGAAGTAAAAGGCAGTTTGACATTTCGACAGCATCTTGCCAACCCTTGCCTCTATGCATCTACCCAAGTGTCTCCCAGGAGCTACTTTGGGTGACCATTCACTTCTCTGGGGCTGCTTCCTTGAAGGTTTCTGGAGAGTGTAGAGAATGATGGGGGGATGGCCAGCTGGAGAGTGGAGCAGGGAGGAACCAGAGCTGGAGTGAATTGTTTGGCCACATTTCTCGGGATTCCACGAGCGTGTCGGGCAAGTTGGGATGGCAAAGGAGGTGGTGCAGGGGCATCTCTGAGGAAGGAATTCAGAGAAAGGAAAACTCGGTGCGACTCAAGCCAGGCCATGAGGGTGAAAGATTGTCAAGCCTCGACCCCTCTCCAGATTCCCATCTGTCCCTCCTCCACCAACTCTTGGCTTTGGGCCATCAAGAACCAATGGAGTTCATGCCTATAGAATGAGGAGAACAGGGAGTCACTTGGCCTCTCTCCTCACTATTATCCAATTTGAAGATATTTTGACCTCATGTAAGGAAAAAGTCACAGCCCCTACCTCCCATGAAGCCCTCCCATCTTGGAGGGAGACATGAAGGGAAGTGTCTCTCAAAAATCAGTCCAGCTTCATTTGTTTCATTAATCTGCACAAGAGACAGTTCGCCGGAAAAGGACCCCAGAAATGTGCTTGGCAAGACAGAAGGTGCTAATGGACAAGACAAAGATGGACAAGATGTCCATCTTGTTGGAGCAGATCCCTCCAACTGGTCTGCTACCACCTCTGCTCTCAGCACGGGGTCGCGGATCATGTGCATGCCCTCCTCTCTCTCCCCACAGCGCATCTCTCAAATCATTTCTGATGCACCACTGCAAAGAGCTCCCCTTCCTTGCAGAGTTAAGTCATTCGAAGTGTGGGTCAGCGGTTAGCCTCACTCAAGGGCAGGGACTGGTTCCTCCATTCCTCCATTCAAGGAGCCCTCATGCACCGCAGCTGTCTGCTAGGGACTGCTTGGGGTGCTGAGAAACAGCAATCAACAAGACCAAGAAGGACCTTCTAGCAAATTCACATTCTCTAGGCTACTGGTCCCTGCCACCAACTTAGTAGGCACAGTTCTCCCCACCACCTGCAGAGGGCATGAATTTTGCAGAAAGGGGGCCAGAAGAAGGAAGAAAGCCGACCAACCCAGCTGCCTTACCTTATTCTGGGGACATTCCTTCGGCAGTGAGAGCCTCTCTCACTTCCACAGCCGCTGTCTCTTCTGGTGGCACTTCCCCTGCTGCTTGAGCTCCTGACCTTCCTTCATTTCCACCAAATGAGGACAAGAAATAGCATTCGAGGCCTCTGGCCCTGCTGAGCATGAAGCAGAAGCAATGGATGGATGTGCTGGACTAAAAAACGATCTGGGCAGAACAAATAGAGACTGTGTGAAAGCCTCTGGCAGCAAAATCTCCAGGTGCATCCCAGTTGCCACACAAGCCCCCATTAACCTACAGCAGGTAAACACTGGGCCGGCAGCTGCCCTGAGGGAGGCCGTTTTTTTTCCCAGCCACACTGTTGCATCTGAAGCTCCTGAGGCCTGGCCACTGACAGGAAAGACTTGAGACTCTTGGGGCAGGGGCTAGGGGGTGATGAGAAAATGCAAAACAGCCTCATAGTTATAGGGCTGTGGAAGCAGATCCCATAGGGAGACTTGGGAGGTGAAGTTCAGGGCCTTCGATGCCTTGTCTCAGGAACAAGCTTGGAGAAAGTGGCGGCATCCTCTTCATAACTCCAAACTTCCCCATCTCTTGCCTTCTGCTGGTTTTCCCAAAGAGGGAAGTTTTAGCACCCAGGGCTCAGTGACACCATGAATGAAAGGTAAGTTTCACTCTTGGTATCAGGGACATCCTGGGAGCTGATTGATCAAGACCACTGCTTGTCAAACAAGGCCTCAGCCCAGTAAGCAGACTGGAGATTCTTGGCCTCTGGTGGACAGCCCTATCTCCTTCTCCTCACTGTAACAGGGCTCCACCTTCAGACTGGGCTCTATCTTTTCTGCTGTGCAGCCTACTCCTCCTGTCTGGCCTCAAGGAAGATGGGAGGCACCTTTGGATTTCAGTCAAGGCCCTGACTTTGGCTATATTTGCCATGTTGACATTACAAGTGGAGAACATAATGGAACATGGTCCCCCATTAGCAAGTATGTTGGGGAACAAGGGGCAAGCTCTTTATACGATGAAACTAGGGACCTGAGCCCACCTGCATTTCCCCCCAACTTCTCCTTCCCAAACCCACTCTTCTTGACACACTGGAATCTGTATTATATATATTTTTAAGAAAATACAATGATAGTTGTCTGGTTTTGTTGTTTTTACAGGTGTTGTGGAATAAAAACTGTAAGAAAACTAAGTATTTAAAATGTTCCAATAAAATGGGGTTTTTTTTGGTTATTCTAATATATTATTGTGTACCTATTGTAAATATGAAACACTCCTATTTTGCAATCCAAGGACACAATTTGTACTGTTGTTATATATAAATAAAGTTTACTGGATAAAAAAAATTTTATATCTTCAGATGAGCCTGGTTGTTCAGCGGCATATATGCAGAATAACATTTCACCAGCATGTTTAAGAAGGTTAGCTTATGGAAAAATGAGCTAAGTGGTTTTAAGGGACTCTAGAAGTCTCTCTATAGCCAGAGCTTAGTAATGTCCAGTCATCTTCGTCAACACACACACACACACACACACACACACACACACACACCCCGCTGCTCCAGCTTGTACCAATAGGTGAACACTGCCCCCTAGCCCCAAGACCCCAGAATACAGGTTTTCTCCGGCAAAAGACAGTGCACATACTTTGGGCTGAGACCCTTTGCCAGGGAAGAATGAGGTCTCAGGAGAACAAGAAGATCCATCCCTGGTCCTTCCTGAAAATCACATTCATTCGTTTATACAAACATTCATTAAGCATCTACCATAGCAGTGCTGGGGGAGGGGGCAGGAATAATAAATGAGGAACGCATGATCCTTGCCCTCATCAAGCTTTTAGGCTGGTG